CCTTTCACCTGCAGGAAATCCCATGATTGATGCCACATGGCACTATGTTGCTGCCGCATTATATGCACGCGCACACATTGTATACACTCCCCAATAACTACGGGCGCGAATACATACTGCAATAACTCGATATGTAAACCGGTATTCGCATTGCAGTGCGTGATGGGGAACACGAATGCGTTTACAACTTCGTTGAAGGACAACGAAACGTATCTTGTCGTACAGAAGAATATAATTTACCCAGAAAGTCATTTCCTGGTTTTTCTTCATTGATCTTTCTTATTTCGTGCTATAATACGTATAATGACGTCATATAATTTTGCTCGAGGAAAAATTTTTCAGATGAGACTTTTGCGAAGACGAAATGAATGTTGAGTGTTTTTGAGGAGAAGCGTTTTTCTTAGTTAAGGAATTTTTGTTATTTTTTTAATGAATAAATTTCCTAATTACGCTATGAACTTTGTTATTTCCGCGATAAAAAGTAACGAAGAATTATTTCATTAAAACGGATAATTTCTGTTCAGAAAGAAATAATAGTGAGCAGTATGGTGATCTATCTCGATAAATCACGACAGAATATTGATCGATGCAATGTTCAATTTCTATTATTTTATTTGTATACAAATATTTTTTTTTATTACATTTTCTCTGATCTGGCTTATAAATTTTTTGTTTTTCATGTTTTGACAGCTCCAATATCTATAAACCATTTATTTCACTAAACCGCTCTGAGATAGATATTTTCAAAATTGAAGTAGACGTCAAGTTTTTAAAAAAGGGATTTTATACTATTTTCTTTCATATCTTTTATGTTATATCATTTTTCTCATTTAACTCTTCTATTTATTTTAAAATATAAAAGAATGACAATTAAGTTATGGTATAAATTTCAAGTCAAATTGAAATACGCATTTAATTTTTTAAGCTAAAGCTTGACCAAAAAGTTTAAAGCATTATTATTTAAAATTTTTTATGCGTTTTTAAAAATTAATTTTCGTTATACATTGGATTTTTTTGGAAAAATTACGTTTACTAATTACTGGAAAAATTAATCAATTTGATTAATCATTTTATTCTTTCAACACTATAAATTATTGCAAATTAAGATTTTATGTTTTGACAGTTCTAAACTGTTGTAACAAATCATTGCTACGAGGAGAATAATTCATCCTAATTCGCACTCGAGTCGACACTAATCCAAATATTCCAAGGGTCAAGTAGTGTTGATAAATTAAGAAGACGGCATTATGTTTCTCTTTGTCGTAAATTTCTACAAATAAGAGATAAGAACGGGTCATGCGACACGTCGGGCTAATTTCCCAACCTGAGTATCATTCTGTGAGTTTAAAACGTCATTCAAAAACGATAAGAGATCACATACTCTTACATTTGTGCTTGAATGCAGATTTGCGCAAAGATAAAATCGTTACAAAGAGTGCAAGTTGCTCCAAAGAGTGTTGTTATCTTTACATGTACATTATTACGAGCGCATTTCATTTGATCACGTTCAAGAGTGAGATCTAATCTATAATGTAAAAGTAAAAACCTGTGTTTTTTATTATTCTTGCTTGGCGAGTGGAATTTTTTCAAATTTAGAAATCCATACTCTTACACACAGTTCCTGATACACAGACTTGCGCGCGCTCTTAATTCTGTTTTTTTATTTGAGTACATAAACTTGCACGCGTTCTTATTATTAGCGTTTTTAAAAAGTCTTAAGTAAAAACTGTTATAGGCTTCCTACAATAATAACAAAAAATCCAAAAAAAAAACAGGGCGAATGAGAGTCAGCGTGGTAGTTAATACGCAATCTTAAATCTTTAATCCAGAAAATAGAATCTTTATTCCAAAAAATAATAGTACACTGAGAAAAAAATGCTGTTGATTCAATTAAAGTCTATATTACGGGCTGTCACTAGCATAAGTGATTAATTCATGCGTATATTTTATTGATATAAAGGTTGATTATTGAAATAATAATTTATGCCTTTGTGTCAATAAAAATATATATGAATTAATCACTTATGTAGTGACAGCCCGTAATATAGACTTTAATAGAATCAACAGCATTTTTTTCTCAGTGTACGTTTCAGTTTACTTTGGAACCATCCTCAGCAATGCAATTTCAAAATATCA